TCTACTCTACTCTACTCTACTCTATATTCTATTCTACTCTATTCTACTTTATATTCTATTCTATTCTATTCTACTCTACTCTACTCTACTCTACTCTACTCTACTCTACTCTACTCTACTACTCTACTCTACTCTACTCTATATTCTATTCTACTCTATTCTACTTTATATTCTATTCTATTCTATTCTATTCTATTCTATTCTATTCTATATTCTACTCTATTCTATATTCTATTTACTCTTCTCTATATTCTACTCTATTCTACTCTACATTCTACTCTACTCTATATTCTATTCTATTCTACTCTACTCTATATTCTATATTCTATTCTATTCTACTCTACTCTATATTCTATATTCTATTCTACTCTACTCTATATTCTATATTCTATTCTACTCTACTCTATATTCTATATTCTATTCTATTCTACTCTATTCTATATTCTATTCTATATTCTATTGTATTCTACTCTATATTCTACTCTATTCTATACTCTGTTCTATATTCTATTCTGCTCTATTCTACTCTACTTTACTTTATTCTATATTCTGCTCTATTCTATATTCTACTCTACCCTGCTCTACTGTACTCTATTCCTATTCTCAGCTCCTCTGGGTTCCTCCTTCTATTCAACGAAACTCTGTTTATTCAGGGCAGCCTCCGGTGTTAAAAGCATAAAAGTCCGTCAGCAGGGTTTACGCGGAGTGCATCCATGCAAGCGAGATCGATGTGGGTAAATAGAAACTCCCATGTACAAGAGCATGATGCTTGTCAATAACAGAGTTGGGAGGGACCTCAGAGGTCTTCTAGCCCAACCCCCCAGCTCAGACAGAAAACCTGATATACCATTTCAGACAAATGGTTGTCCAAGCTCTTCTTTAAAACCTCCAGTGTCGGAGCACCCACAGCTTCCGGTGGCAAGCCGTTCCCCTGGTTAATTGTCCTCACTGTCAGGAAATGTCTCCTTAGTTCTTAGGTTGCTTCGGTGCTTGATGAGTTTCCATCCGTGGCTTCTTGTCCTGTCTTGTTTTGAGGACAAGAAGCAACATTACAAACAAGAACCCCTGACTTGCGTGGATGAGACCCATAGTGGAGCTGTTTGGGTGTTTTTTTTTTAATTTATTTATTTAGGATTTTATTTTATTCTGTTTCGATTCCCTCGTACCGGCTGGGGAATTCTGGGGATGGAAACCAGGGGTGGGCTTCAAAAATGTCAGCAACGGGTTCTCCGCCCGGTTGCTGGGTGGGCGTGGCTTAGTCAGCCTCCTGCACCAGAGCAGGAGGAGGGTGGGGGGCGTTTTTCACCCTCCCCAGGCTCAGGAGGCTCTCTGGAAGCTGGAAACGGGCCCATTTCTGGCCTTCCTGAACTTCTAGGAGGCCCGTTTTTCGCTCTCCCCGAGCCTCCATGCGCATCCTGCACTTCCCTGCATCCAAAACAGGCCACATGGGGACTCAGGGGAGGGGAGGGGAGGGGTAGGCAGGGCCAGCCTCAAGGGTGGGATTCTACCAGTTCGCACCTATTCACTAGAACCGGTTGTTAACCTTCTAAGCAGTTCGGAGAACCGGTTGTTAGAAGAAATTCCTGGGGCTAATCCTGTAAGGAAGGCAGGAAGGAAACATTCTGGTGTTGCTTACAGAAACTGCCTCTCTGTTAACCCTTATTACATTCGTGGCAGGACTAGACTTCCTGTCTCTGGAACATCTCTGGAGTTTTTTTCCCCTCCTTTGCTGGTACTTTGCTTGTGTGGAGTGACCATTCCAAGTTGCAACGTCACTGAAAAAAGTGACTTATGACCATTTTTCACACTTACGACTGTTGCAGCATCCCCACGGTCATGAGAGGACAGGCGTGCCTCGATGTGAGTGATATTGAGTTGGCCACGCCTAGCCAATAACATGACCCCCAAGCCATGTTCACCCAGTCACATGACCACCAAGCCGCGCCCACCCCCTAAGCCACACCCACAGAACCGGTTGTTAAAAATTTTGAATCCCACCCCGGACAGCCTGGAGTGGGATTTGGGGGTTTTCTGAACTGCACAGAATCTTAGCTGGGGGCTTTCCTGGACTGGTTGAAATCCACACGTCGGAAACCTGAAAAGCCCTGGTCTAAGCTAATGCAGGGATGTGGGTCCTCCGCAGTAGCTACAATGCTTGCAGAGAGGATTAGAAACAGTGTGCTCGCCATTAGAAACTGTGTGTGAAAAGTGTGGGAAGCCCATGGAATGAGAAAAACAATGATCTGGCCACCTTTCCTTCTAAAAGGAAACTAGAGGACAACAAGATCAATGAATCTCATTCCCCTTATTGATAGATGTCAAGGTATTCTTGAGAGGATGCACCACGGGGGAATGTTCGGCTTATATCGTGTGGTGAGCGTCTGTTTTTGCTTTAAAGCTCCTTAAAATCTACGTTTTTGATCTTTGAAAACATCCTAAGATTCTTTTTTCTTAAGCAATTAGGCGAGACTAAACTGACCGTTTGTTCTTCTCCGCCTCAGCTGTGATAAGGTAGATTGGCAGGCTTTAACCTGTATCCTTGGAGACTGTTGAGTTATACAACAAGTTGCATAGTTACACATAGTTACTGAGTTATGTGCCGCACCGCCTAGAGTGTAATTCAGCATCCATGTTGGAAGGAGATGGCTTTTCAGAACAAAATGGTTCCTACTGAAATACAGCCCCTCGCACATCTGGGAGGTTGGACCTTTGGTTAAGTCCTCCGCCGTGCTCGGATCTCACACAAATTAAAAGTAGATGATCACCAGGCTGGGTTCTCCGTAGAGCAAGAGAACAAATTAGAAGGATCTTCTCCAGTTTTCTTAGGAACTCAAAAATTCCAATTCAGGAATAGAGCTGAATGGGGACCTTGGAGGTCATTTAGTCCAGTGGTTGCCAACCGGTGGGCCGGGGCCCACTGGTGGTCTATGAGAAAATGTTGGTGGTCCGCAGAGAAATGTCAACCCGAAGCAATTAATCCAGGCTGCGCGGGAACACAAGGCTACGCCGCCCACGTGGCCCACGGGAACACATGGCTTGCATCGCGAACAACACGAGGTAGTGAGGGGACAGGGGAAAGGGCGGAGAGGGGGAACTTGCCCCACTCACCCCACATGCCTGGCCTGGCCACCGGGCTGCTTCTTTCCGCTTCTTTCTTCTGCTTTTGGCTGCACGCAAGGAAAGCAACCAAAGTCTTTCTTTCTCTCCCCCAAACTCTGCCAGAAATGAGTCTTTGGGACCCTGCAAGGCCTCCTGTTCCAAGAGGCAAAGACTCATTTCTGGCAGAGTTTGGGGGAGAGAAAGAAAGACTTCTGCTGCTTCTGCTGCTTTCCTTGCATGAAGCCCAAAGTCTCTCTCTCTCTGTCTCTGTCTCTCTCTCTCTCTCTCTCTCTCTCTCTCCCCCTGAGAACGGAGCTAGAGATGGGATCCTGCGATCCCAAATAAAAGAATGATCAATCGGTAGGAAAACGGGGTGGGGGATTTTCCTGCAGACTTTTTGGGGGGATTTTCCCAGGGTCTCTGGTCTGTGGGATTTAAAATGATGAGTTTGGTGGTCCCAGAGGTCCAAAAGGTTGGCGACCCCTGTCCAACCCCCTGCCCAAGCAGGAGAAGCTATATACCCTTTCAGACAAGTGGCTGTCCAGCCTCTTCTTAAAAACCTCCCGTGTCGAAGCACTCCACAACCTCTGGAAGCAAGTTGTTCCATGTGTTAATTGTTCTAAAACTGGAAACTGTTTTGAAAACTGAACAAAGAGAGAAGCAAACCTAGAACGAAGGAGAAATTTACTAACAGGTAGAACAATTAGCCAGTAGAACAACTTTCCACCAGACACTGTGGGTCCTTCATCACTGGTGGTTTCTAATAAGAGACACCGGGCCACCATTTGTCTGGAATTGTGCTTGAGCGGGGGGGTTGCAGTAGAAGATTTTCCAAGGTACTTTCCAGCTCTATTCTGAAAACAAAAAAGACACAGCTATCTTAAAAAGAGCATCCTGAAGTGTTGCAATCCTTTTCCACATACAACGGTGATTTCCCCTTCAAAGATAATGCCGATTTGAATTCCTGCCCTCCGTCCTCTATATGTCTGTGGTGGTGGGGTGGTCCCACGAGGGGAGCAGGAACTAGTGGCTTAAGGGACGTGGGATGAAGTGGGATGACCTCCCTGTTGTCTCTCCTTTCCAGAGAGAGAAGCATTCGATGGCTGACACAACCCCGCACAGCTCTTACGCCGTTTCCAATCAGAGGTCATCGTCCAGCACCGGGTATGGAATCAGCTCGCAGTTTGCGCTTTGCACATCTGGTTGTTTCCCTTTTTTCTTTTTCTGTTTCAATTTTTTTTTTTATTCAAAGCATTAAACAGAGTGTAACGGCCCTGGGCGTGGCACAAAAAAAAACCCCACAGTCACATAAGTAAGAAGGGTCCCTTTAATACCTCCAACTTTGCCCCCAATGTCCAATGTTACCTTCTGGCTGGAGAGAAAAAAAAACTCTCCCAAGAACATCCTTTTAATGGAGGAAATTCAGTCTGAAAACAAAGTACATACAAACTAACTAAAAATCCACACAAACCACGCTGCAGTGATTAACTTGACAGGGCGGGAGAAGGAATTGCAGACTTGAAAGGCCAGCAAAACACACACAGTTGGGAAGATGCCAGGAACACAGATAAGCCTCCACGATACCAGATAATTCACGATTTGTTCCCAACAGTTTGCTGTGTGCACCTTTTTAAGCACTGTGTTCCCAGCTGCAGCTAATGAAGGGAATCAGGGCCCTTTCCTCCCCGTAAGCCACACAACTCATATTGCTCCCTTCTCCATTCTTCCCTGTGTGCCCTAGGATGAAGAGGAGGTGGGCCTGGGTCTTCCTCTGAACTCAATCTCCCTTGCTCTACCTCTCCCCTGCTCTTCCTAGCCAGACTTTGCCCCTCCCCAATTTCTTCCACAGCCAAGGGAGTCACATTCCCACTCCGTCAGCTGCTCAGCCCCCCCCCCCAAATCAGAGTCTGACAGGGGCATGACACAGAGGTCCCCAACAGAGGTGGTATTCAGCAGGTTCTGACCAGTTCTGGAGAACCGGTAGTGGAAATTGTGAGTAGTTCTGGAGAACCAGCCAATCCCACCCCTGACTGGCCCCATCAACCCCATCTCTTCTCTGCCTCCCATCGGCTGGGTCTCCTTTGGTTGCCCTGTAGAGGAGAATGGAGCTGGAAAGCAGGTTAGTGGGGTGGGGAGGGAATGGGGATTTTGCAGTATCCTTCCCTGCCATGCCCACCAAGCTATGCCAGGCCCACCAAGCCACGCCCACAGAACCTGTAGTAAAAAAAAATTGAGTCCCACCACTGGTCCCCAGGGATGGGGGAAAAAACCAGGATCAAGGGTGACAATGAATGGTGTGCCTCAGAGTCAGCTACACCCAGGCAGTGCCGGACATGTTAAGTCCCAATAAGGAAGTTTTGGAAGTTTGGCTCGAGACTCGTGATTTAAATGGGGGCAACTGCCGGAATCCTGACACCAAATGGTTAGGAAAACCCTGGTCTAGATGATGCTGGGTTGACCCTTTGACCCATCGAGATTCCAGATTCTCAGAGAGCACCCTCATGTCAGCCCTGAGCTGCAAATATTCTCCTTTATTAGATTCCAGACTTTTGGCTGTTTAATTTCAGCGCCTCCAGCTGCGCCAAAGCGATCTCCCAGAGCTCGGGATGCTACGACAGTGACAGTCCCGAAGCTTATCAAGGAGGCGAGAACAGCAATGGGCCATCCTACCAGTCTCGAGGCTCAGAGAGCGGCTTTGACCGGCCCGGCGGAGTGCGCAGCTCGGCTTTGCGCAGACAGGCTATTCAGAATTGGCACCGCCGGCCATACCGGAACAGCACCGAGGGCGAGGAAGGAGACATCTCCGACATCGGATCCCGGACCACTGAGTCGGAGGCGGAAATGTGGGACCTGGAGCCCAGGGTGCCCACTGAGGTCCAGCAGGTGAATTTCTCCAGGCCAGGACACAATTCCAGGATGGCAGGTAGGTTTTGTCCCCTGAGCAGACCAGAGTCCAGCAAAGGTAGTGGGTCTGACATCAGTTGTAACAGAAATAACAGAATTAATAATGATTGTATAATCGCAGAATAACCGAATTAATAATAATTCAGAATAACAGAATCTCTCTATATAAAAGCAAAATGCCCCTCACGCATCATCACAAAATCTCCCGAACCGTAAAGCCTACAACTTTGAAATTTGGCCTGTATGTTCCTCTTGGCTTCTAGGTGCTCAATAAGAAAGGATTTTTCCAAATGACCATCAGAGCATTTAGAATATTTCCTATATTATTATTAACACGCTCTGATGCTAAGGAGTTCTACTCCCCCTCCCCACCTGAAAAGAAATCTCTTTCAAAGGCAAAACACAAGCAGAGGAGAGGAGTTTCCGTTTCCGTTTTCCTTTCAGTTTCACAACACCAAGCAGCTTTAGTACAGAACAGTTGAGCTAGCCCAGGCTCCTCGCTGTCTCCTTCTAGCTCACACAGCAAATACTGTTTCACTTTCCAAACAGCCCTCAACTCTCTCACACACTGACAGGACACTAGCCAGATGAATACCGATGGATGCTGGTACGCAGAGGCAGAATTTTTCCTCCCTTATCTTCCTCCTCAAAAACAGCCCAGCCACATAGTTTCGTAGCGAACTAAGGGTATCCAGCTACAGAGGTGGTATTCAGCTGGTTCGGACCAGTTCTGGAGAATCGATAGCGGAAATTTTGAGTAGTTGGGAGAACCGGCCAATCCCACCTCTGGCCCTGCCCCATTCTCTTCTCCGCCTCCCTTTGAGTCCCAGCTGATTGGCTGGGTCTTCTTTGGTTGCCCTGCACAGGAGAACAGAGCTGGAAAGCAGGTTAGTGGGATGGGGAAGGAAAGGGGATTTTGGCAGTGAGGTGAGCTGCATATAAATATAATTAATCATTTTTTGCGACCCAGCCAGGTCCGATGCTGGAAAAGCGGGCCGGCCGGAGAGAGGAAGCACCTCCCGTTCCAACGAGGTGATCAGCCCGGAGATCCTGAAGATGCGGGCTGCCCTCTTCTGCATCTTCACGTACCTCGACACCAAGACCCTGCTGAGGGCCGCCGAAGTCTGCAAGGACTGGAAATTTGTGGCACGGCACCCCGCAGTCTGGACCAGGGTCTTGCTGGAAAATGCCAGAGTCTCCTCAAAGGTGAAGCAGAGCCTTCTGCTCCTGTTATTGGAGGTTCTTGTCTTTTATTATAGGTACTCCTCGACTTAACAAGCATTCATTTAGTGACCGAAGTTACGACAGCACAATTATGACTGTTTTTCGTGTCTACGACCATCGCAGGGGCCTCATGGCCAGGTGATCCAAATTGGAATGCTCGGAAACTGGCTCATATTTACAACGGTCACAGTGTGTCCCCGGGGGGGGTCACACGATCCCCCTTTTGCCCACCGTCTGACAAGCGAAATCAAGGGAGAAGCCAGATTCGCTTAACGACCATGTTACCAACTTAGTCACAGCAGCGATTCGCTTAACAACTGTGGCATGAAAGGTTGTAAACGGAGGCAAAACTCAGTAATTGCCTCACTTAGCAACGTAAATGTTGGGCTCAGTTAGGGCTATAAGTCGAGGCCTAGCTGTAAATGCCAGTTGCCGAATATATCAATTTGCATCATGTGGGAGGCTGCAACCATTGTTGTAAATTTTTTTTTTCAGTGCCGTTCAGAGGTGGGATTCTACCGGTTCAGACCGGTTCGAGGGAACCAGATGTTAAAGTTACAGCTGGTTCGCTGAACCGGTATTCTCTGGGAGAGGGAAAAACAGGCCTTCTGAAAGTCTGGAAACGGGCCTGTTTCCAGCTTTCGGAGAGCCTCCAGAGTCTGGGGGAGACTGTTTTCACCCTCCCAGAGGCCCAGGGGGAGGCCTCTGGACCCTTGGGAGGATGAAAACTGCCTCCCCCGGGCTCCAGAGGCCCACGGGAAGCGGGAAACAGGAAGTTCCAGTCGGCCCTGCCCACCCAGCAACCAGGCAGTGAACCGGTTGCTGGGATTTTTTTTTTTTTTTTTTTTTTTTTTAAAACAAGTTTTATTAAAAGTTTCAACAACAAACAAATCATTACATATTAAATCTTTCCCTGTCTTTCTACAATAATTTCCCCAATATTCTCATAAAACACAAACAAACACAAACAAACATAAAAAAAATCTTTTAGTAAAGTACCTTGGCCCCAGTTACCTCTCTTTGCATGGGTTAAAATAATAGCACATATCACTCTTCACATTTCTATCTTATTTAATCCATCTTAATTAAATCATTAAATTTGTATCTTTTGCCCATTCATTTATCCCTCTATCTCTTCTTATAGTAAAAAAAATTTCTCCTGAAATCACTAATCAGAGTATGATGCCTTTCTATCCTCCCCCTAAGTTAGTAAAATTAACATTCAGCATAACAAATACCCAATTTGGTTCTGCTTGGTACATTCTATCCACCAAAAATGTTTAAAAACATTGTATCCTCCTTTCCTTCGATATTTTATTACATTTTAAAAATCAATCATTATTAAAAACTTCAACATTTTAATTTCTTATTAAATCTTAAACCATTCTAATTTACTATTTCAAATATAAATGTTACAATACCATCTTCTGTACCTTAGCAGAATCTTTCTTACAGAAATTTATATTTCATCCTTTGTCTCTAAAAAAAATCCCTCTTCTCCCATCCAATTTTAAAACTTTGAGGCTTTTCTCCGCCTTTCCCCTTTCTTTCTTCCCCCACCAAATCTTCCTACCCCCCCTTCTTCTTCTAACCTCTGCCTTGCTGGGATCCCTTCTCTGTTGTGTTCCCTTTTTCTCTTGTTTGTTATCATTATATTTACTTTGCATCATATTTTTCTCTTTCTTAAATGTTTTTTTAGATCTTAAGTCCTTCATTTTCCTTGCTCTCTTCCTTCCTTCTTCCTTAAATAAGTTTTGGGATTCAATGAAGATGGCGTCTTCGTCTCTTCCTTGTTGTTCTTCTTCCGTTTCCATCTGTTCCATTGTCTGTTGGTAATTAACCAACGCCATTTCTAGAAATAGAAAAGCTTTTTCCATGCCATCTTTGCAGGCTGCTTTTGTTTGCTCATATTCATCCCTCAGGTCTTCAAAAAGGAAAGCCATTATAGATAAATCTTTTCTTTTCTTTATTCCTCTTTCTTCTTACACCAACCAAATATTCCGAGAGAAAGGCAAAACAATCCCAAAATCCACAATCCTCAATAAATCCAAGCAAGCCAAAAATTCCCCCTTCCTCTTCCAGGGGTGGTATCAAACAAATAAAAAAAAAGAATCCAAATCTATATTTTAAAGCCTTATTAAGATTGTATTTCTGTCCTCAAGTCTTCAAGGCATCTCCTCCAACAGGATCCAAATTTATATATTTTCTTTATTCTCTCCCTTCCGGCTTAATTCCGTCGGGAGGGAGAGTAAACTTTCCCTTCAGCACCTCAAAATAGCCGCTTTTTTTTCTCTTGTGGAAGAAATCATCAGAAAACCATCTTTTCCAGGAATTAAATTAGATAAATCTCAAAGCCCTGGGTCGACCAAGAATAACTTTCACTTTCAATAACTTTCTCTTCTTCCTCCTGCGCATACTTGCCCGGCTGTCAACTTCTTTGTGGCGGCCATTACGGACCGCCGCTGCACCGTCCTGGTAACAGGGGGTTCTGCCGGCCAGGGAGGGGGTCTGCAACACCCCCAAACCCTTCCTCCGGATCCCCCTTACCTTCAGCTACCCCTGCAGGGCAGCCTTGCTCCGCACCCGTCCGGGTCGGAGCCCCAAAACGGCTAGCGCGGCAGGGATCGCGCAGCTCCGCGAATCCCTACCGCTCGCGAAGCCGACAAACCGGAAACTCCGGTTGCTGGGATTTTTGAATCCCACCCATGTTGCCATTGTAACTTGGAATGGTCACTAAACAAATGGTTGTAACTAAGCCGAGGACTACCTGTACCGATATTCGCGGCACAAGCTTCCCCGGAGTCTCGGAGGGTTTTCTGGATGTTGTGTGAATTGATGTTCCCTTTTTCACCTCATCCCGGGCTCTCATTCCAGCTTCCAAGCCGAAGCAAAAAAAAAAATTGTGCATATCATTCTGAAAAAAATTGGCTGTGTCGAATGGACTTGCGTGGAATATTTATTTTACCTGGTGGCGGTCTGGATTTGATACATGGCTTATACTTCTTTTTTCTTGATTCAATATTTACCCCATGTTAATTGCCAATGTCTTTATTTACTCGCTCTGTCCCAACTTCCTGCTCATTGAACGCACGCCAGCAGCTCACCATAAAAGAACAAAACTTAACATCCCATTTTTTAAAAAACCAGTTAAAATGAACTATTCATGAACTCAAACACTCTGAATTCCGATAACGAGGCTTCTCTGCATCCTTCAGAGCCCGCTCCCCACAACCTTAAAACCAAACTCGGTTCCAAGGTAGCTTATTTCTTAAACAGGCCCCTTGGTCCCTTTTAGAGACCAAAACCAAGGCCTTGGATTGTGTCTAGCAAACAACGTACACAACATGGATGTGATGTATTGCAATACGGTGGCTCAGGATGTAACATAGTGGTCTTTTTTTTTTATGCCAACGGATGCCTGTGGATAGTGTTCAAGGGTAGCTCCTTGTTGAACTTCTTGCAGCAGTCAAGCCGGGATGCTAATCTAACTCTTGGTCCTACTCCGTTCCATAAAATGGAGGTAGTCCTCCACCCGAGCTCACAACAGAGCCCCAAATCTCTGTGAGATTCAGTGGTTCTGTTAGTTCTGCCCCGTTTTACGACCTTTCTTGCCGTGGTTGTTAAGTGAATCCCTGCAGCCGTTCAGTTAGTAAACACAGTTGCAAAGGGAATCTGGCTTCCCCATTGACTTTGCTTGGGAGAAGATCGCCAAAGGAGATCATGTGACCCCAGGATATAGTCATAAATCTGAGTCAATTGCCAAGCATCTGAATTTTGTTCACGTGACCGGGGAGGCACTGAGAAAACAGTGTGAGAAAACAGTCATGCGTCACTTTTTCTTCCAGTGATGTTGTAACTTTGAACAGTCACGGAAAGACGTGTTGTAAACCAAGGACTACTTATATCAGTTTATTGTAGTTGCAAAGCAGACCCATGTTCTGGAGGCCATTACTCTCTTTTTTTCTTCAGTATCTTTGCAAAATAGCAAAGACAAAATAGGATATTTAATCTTATTAAAGATTACTGTAAAGTGTACAGTATAATGAGCCAGAACAGACCATTATAGTTGGTTAACTGGAGAGTACAGGCTCCTGCATGAGGCAATCTACATTATGATTGGTTGTTGGGTGTAAAAGGGGAGTTTTCTCCTCCCTCCCCCCGCCGCCTTTTTTCCCCTTCTGTGTGTTCTGTATACTGTTCTGTGATTTACCTCACGATTTACCTTCACGATTTACCTCATGGTTTACCTCACGGTTTACCTCATGATTTATCTCACAATTTACCTCACGATTTACCTCATGATTTACCTCATGGTTTACCTCACGGTTTACCTCACGATTTACCTTCACGATTTACCTTCACGATTTACCTCATGGTTTACCTCATGGTTTACCTCACGATTTACCTCACGATTTACCTCATGATGTAGCAATGTACCTGACTCTCTTGTTTGTTTGTTGCATATATATACTGATAGTCCTCAACTTACAACCATTTAGTGATGATTCGAAGTTACCACATAATTGAAAAAAGTAACTTGTGACCGTTTTTTGACACTTACAACCATTACAGCTTCCCCGAGAACAAAATTCAGACGCTTGGCCAATGACTCACATTTATGACGGGTCACAGTGTCCCGGGATCACTGTTATCCGCTTTGGCCACCTTCCGACAAGCCAAATCAATGGGGAAGCCAGATTCCCTTAACAACCATGTGACTAACTTAAACACTGCAGCTATTCACTTAACGACGGTGGAAAGAAAGGTGGTGCAAAACTCACTTGGTATAGGTCTCGCTTAGCAACAGAAATTTTGGGCTGAATCATAGTCGTAAGTCGAGGACTACCTGTAAATGTAAAATACATCGATTTAGAGAAAACTACAAGCTCGTGCCGGTATCTCTGATTCCATTTGGACACCGGCTGTGCAATTCCCTGACAAGTTATTTTCTCTATTTTTATTTTTCTTGCACAGTTCCTGGTTATGCTGTCACAGTGGTGCACCCAGACGCATTCTCTCACCCTCCAAAATCTCAAGCCCAGGCAAAGGGGGAAGAAGGAGACGAAGGAGGATTACATGAAAAGCACACGGTGAGGAAGATGGCGGTCTTCCAATATCTGAATGGCTGCCTCAAAGGAGAGGAGGGGGTCCATCTATTCTCCAAAGCACCTGAAGGCTGGACGAGAAGCAATGGATGGAAACTAATCGAGGAGAAAAGCAACCTAGAACTAAGGAGAAATTCCTGACAATTATAACAATTAACCAGTGGAACAGTCTGCCACCAGAAGTTGTAGGTGCTCCATCACTGGAGGGTTTTAAGAAAGAGACTGGACAGCCAGTTGTCTGAAATGGCATAGGGTCTCCTGCTTGAACAGGGGGTTGGACTAGAAGACCTCTGAGGTCCTTTCCAACTCTGCAATTCTGATAATATCTATAGAACGGGGGGAGACTGGCCGTACAATCCAGTGTCCCCCACTTTTCCTGGGTCAGGAGAGGAGCTCCTGACATGTTCCAGGTAACTGCCAAAGACCATCAGCCACTGCTGTTGGCAGGCTAGTTTTAGGGGTTCTGGCAGGGGCTCAGGGGTCTAGTAGTTGGTGTTTTCAGTGGCGTTTCCGTTGGGTTTTCGTTTTAATGCGATTTTCTGTTCTCGTTGGTTTGCCACTGAGAGGTTCTTGGTGGTTAGGTGGGCAGTTGTTAATAAATAGAAACATCATAACACCTGGTACAAAGATTCCCATCATCCCCAACCAGCACGGCTCTCAGGTTCCACTGGGAAGGCTGTAGTTCGTCAATGACTTGGAACTAAGCATTTGAACTCACTGTAGGAAATATTTCTCCAATGGTCATGGCCGGCTGGACCTATTTCAAAAACGTTTTCAAAACTTGTTTCCTTCTAAATAGTATTTCTCAGCTTCTTCATAAGCTATATGGACTTCAATTCCCAGAATTCCCCAGCCAGGATGCTGCTGGGGAATTCTGGGAGTTGAAGTCCACATGTGCTTCCTGGGGAATTCTGGGAGTTGAAGTCCACATGTGCTTCCTGGGGAATTCTGGGAGTTGAAGTCCACATGTGCTTCCTGGGGAAGTCTGGGAGTTGAAGTCTACATAAGCTGAGTGGGGAATTCTGGGAATTGAAGTCCACACATCTTAAAATGGCAAAGTTTGGAAAACGCGGATTTAAATCATTCCTTTTCCAAATAAGTTGCATTAATATTTTTTTCCCCTCAATTTTCTCAGCAATCGACACTGCAGTAAGTTGAGAATGTTGGAAATCAAAAACAGGATTTTTCAAACACAACATGAGAACAAATCACGGTCTAATTTAGCCCCGCAGCTGATCAACGTGGTTTCATATTGGTTTAATCCTTGTTCCTCTGAAGAGTTTTTAATTTGCAGAAAAGGCTCACTATGAGAAAACCACGAGAGCCACGAGAGATTTAAATAATTTGTAATTTTTTTCTCTCTTCCTTTTTGTGGGGATTTGCTAGGGGATGCCTTGAAGCGGGACTGGAGTCCTTACTCAAAGCCTCTGGGAGTAACCTCTTGATCCTACGGGTTTCCCACTGCCCCAACATTTTGACGGATCGTTCCCTCTGGCTGGCCAGCTGCTACTGTCGAGCTCTCCAAGCCGTCACCTACCGGTAAGCGGGGGCCGTTGGGGACCTCCAACCCAAATCAGAGTTTCTCGTTCTGAGGAGAAGGACTGAGCCTGTTCGGTTTGGCCAACCTCAGCCCAAGGTTGACCCAGTTTGACCAAGAAGGTCTTAAGCAAGATTGAGCTGCAGTGTTGTGGTTCGCCGGCAGTGGAATCGGACAGTGGGGAAGAAAAGGGACCAATCCAGGTCTGGACAGGACTCGGACGAGTGGGACGACCATCTGGGAGTGGGGTGCTGAGTCCGGAGCCCATGGAGTCCGGTAGCAGCGAGGCAGAGGACCCAAGGGAGCCTGTTCCCAGTGCGCGTATGCACAGAGCTGCTAGAAGGCGAGAGCAGCTGAGACAAAAGGGGCAACTCAGGAGTAAGGCTGGGAGGTGATTGCCCCTCCCCTAAGGGATAAAAGTCAGGCCAAGATGATGAAACCTTTGCAGGAAGCAAGGTCGTTCAATCGGTTCAGATTCTTTCTTGAAGCTCTTTGTACTTCGGTTGGATTTTTTTTCCTAGTTCATTGGTTCACTTCTGTTATTGGCAGCACTTCACAGGGAAGAAAGGTGGGTGCTTATCTTGAGGGACTGTTTGAGATTCATTACAGGCTGGGAATGAAAATAATTCCCAGCGTTGCAATAAAACAAGAGTTGTTTTTAAGATAAGCATGTGCATAATTACGGTCTTGGAAGCCTTGGTCAGAACATACTGTAGGAGAAAGAGAGGAAATGCTGATGGCAGAGTCAAGAGAGGAATTAGTCTAGGCTCCTTACGTTTCTCCAACTTACCAGTAGTTCTGAAAAACCACTCGTTTAGTGACCGTTAGAAGTTATGATGACATTAACAAAAAGTGACATATGGCTGTCCCGCTTAATGACCATTGCAGCTTCCCTATGGTCAATCAAAATTCTGATGTTTGGCAACTGGCATGTACTTACGGCAGTTCCAGTGTCCCGGAGGTCACACGATCCCCTTTTGCGACCTTCTAAAGTCCATGAGGAAGCCAGATTCGCTTAACAACCCAGGCTCCTAACTTAACAACTGTAATGGATTCGCTTAATAACTGTGGCAAGAAACATAAAATGGGGCAAAAAAAAAACCACCTCACTTCACCGTTTCTCTTAGCCATGAAAATGTTGGACTCCGTGGTGGTCGTAAGTTGAGGGTGGCCCATATTGGGACCAATGAAAATGGAAACAGGAGGAGCCCCTGCCCCGTCAGTTGTGTTTTCGGTGTGCTCTGCTGCAAAATTGAAGCCCTACTCTCCCCAGAGTATCTGAGTCCCCGGGGAGAACAACGGCAGAGCTGGCACCGATGCCAACCAGACAGTCCTTGGCACCGCACGGAGAAGAGAGAGGCGGTGTGAAATAATCACAGCCTTTTTACTCCCTCCGTCGGGGCTGGAGAAGCAGCAAGAGAACAAAAGACTGGGGGTGGCGTCGCGCACACACACACACACACACACACACACACCGGGCTCCCTCGCTGGGGCTTTGTCCTTGGCATCGTTGGCACCGCCAAGGAGCCGAGCGCTCCAGTGGGTTGTGATGGGTTATTGTGCTGTCAAGCTTGGAGGGAGGCACCTTGTAATTTAGCCCAGCTGGAATCAGGCACTGTGAGGCGGGGGGGAAGGAGGGGGCAGCCCTCAAAATATAGAATCAAAGAATAACAGAGGGAATGGAACCTGGAGGTCATCTAGTCCAACCCCCTGCCCAGGCAGGACACCCTATACCTACACCGTTCCAGACAAAGGGGTTGTCCAATCCCTGCTTGGAATTCCAACGCTTGGCAACTGGCGTGTATTTATGACGGTTCCAGTGTCCTGGGATCATGTGATTCCCTTTTTGCGACTTTCAGACAAGCCTCATACCTTTAACCACCGTAAAATGGGACAAAATTCACTTTGCTGTCTCTCTCTCTCTTAAGCAACAGAAACTTTGGGCTCCATCGTGGTCGTAAACTGAGGACCCACCTGCACTGTAGCCCGTTCTCAATCTTTCCTGAGCAGAGCGGGGCGGTTGGACTAGAAGACCTCCAAGGTCCCTTCCAACTCCTTGTTTTGTTCTGTTTAGGTTTTGATCTCATTCATTTTTGCCTCCGTGATTCAGGCGTGGGAGATGATTTTAATTCCCGCGTCGTTGCCGGGTTTTGCAACCCTTCTCTGACTCATTTTGCTGCACCGTTGTTGCTTCTGCCGAAGGAAATTAGCAGCGTAGAGGCAACCAGGCGCTTGTCAAGGGTGGCTGCGGAGAGGCCCAGGCTTGAGGTGGCATTCAGACATGGCACCGCTTCTAAGAATAGAGGGTGCCGGGGACACAGAGCTGGCAGGAGGGAGGAGAGCATGGAACAATTTCTCCATTGCAGACATTTTTTTTTCCAGGGTAGATGGCGTGAAAGGAAACACACAACACCCCGGGCATCTGTTGAGTTGGCATCTCCGTTCCTGCCATTCTTTATACTCAGCCAGCCTGGAGATTAAATTCTTTTTTGTTATCTAAGAGGGCTTCATGTGTGGACAGCCTGTTCTAGAGATCATCTTATCATTCCCCTGGTCCTTCCTTGCTCCATATCAGAGCTTTGGTGAGGTAGAACGTGGTCCAGATCAGGGGTCGCCAACCTTTTGGACCTCAGGGACCACCAAACCGGAGGTGGTATATTCAGCAGGTTCTGACCAGTTCTGGAGAACCAGTAGCGGAAATTTTGAGTAGTTCGGAGAACCGGCAAATCCCACCTCTGGCTGGAGATTTTACAGTATCCTTCCCTTGACATGCCCACCAAGCCACACCCACAGAACCGGTAGTAAAAAAAAAATTTGAATCCCACCACTGCACCAAACTCATCATTTTAAATCCTGCGGACCAGAGACCCTGAGGAAAATCCCCCCAAAAAGTCTGCAGGAAAATCCCCCACCCCGTTTTCCTACCAACGGAGATCATTCTTTAATTGGGATCGCAGGAGACCGTCTCCAGCTCCGTTCTCAGGGGGAAAGAGAGAGAGAAAGGGAGAGACTTTTGGCTTCATGCAAGGAAAACAGCAGAAGCAGCAGAAGTCTTTCTTTCTCTCCCCCAAACTCCACCAGAAATGAGTCTTTGTGAGACTTGTTGTGCCGGCGCAGCTTCTTGGAGCAGGAGGCCTTGCAGGGCCCCAAAGACTCATTTCTGGCGGAGTTTGGGGGAGAGAAAGAAAGACTTTGGCTGCTTTCCTTGCATGCAGTCAAAAGCAGGAGAAAGGTTTACAGTCCCCTGTGACCCTGTTTCCCCCCTCCCTCCCCCCGGATGCATCATAAATCAGATTCTCCAATTGAGCATGTTCACAGCCTGGTTGTCATCAATCACATTCTCGAATTAAATATATTCATGGGCAAAAACTCTGGTAGTTTAGTTACAGTTTTTTAAAGATAAGAGTTGGAATGTACTTTCGCTTTGCTGCACTGCCCTTCCAGATCTCCATTCCTTCCTCTCTTTCTTTTTTTGTGGCAATTACTAAAACAGGCATGGGAATGTTTTATGAGTTGACACTCATTTAATGACTGTCTTGCTTAGTCACGGAAACCTTGGGCTCAATGGTAGTCATAGGTCAAGGATGATATTTAATCCAGGTTTAACGGTCTGGCTGGGAGCAATGCATTGCATTGGATCTGTGGTCCTTCTGGGTGCAGCTGTTCCATCCTCCACTCCCTCTTTTTTTTCCACTCCGGATAGTCAGAATGTACCTGCAGAAGTTGGCAGTTTTCTAATCTGTCGGGATGACTCATCCCTTTAATTAAGGCCACGCCAAACAATTCGGGAGCCTTGGCTGTGGCGGCTCTAGGAGAGGCAGATGGATTTTTCCAGATAATTCATGCTTGCTTATTTTTAGGCTCTTCTCTAGCGGGGAACTGGGTCATGCAACTTGACAATAAAAAGCCCAAGCTAGTTTTATAAAGTTGTGTTTTTTTATAAATGAATTTATGAATCACCAGCCACTTCGATCGGCCAGTAGAAGCGGCCTCGGGGCGAGCGCCCACGCACACTTTCCTCGCCACGAGGCCGCTTCTATCGATCGAAATGGCTGGTGACTGCTCTTGGGGAGCTTCCATCGCCTGAAAGACACTGCCTCATGGCGAGGGGACGCGGGCAGCCATGCCTCGCCCCGAAGCGGCTGGGGACACTGCCTTCAAGGGAGCTTCTATCGGCTATCGGGGTATTCTAGCCTCGGCTACCTGCAGGGCCCTCCTAAAGGCAAGTTTTCTCCCCACCCTGCCCTTCCCGCCCGTTTCTCTTCACCTCGTGTCGTTCTAACGAACGATGTGAGAAATGGCGGGGAAACGCATGGTTTAAATAGGCCTACATTTAGGGGGGCGAGGCTTAATTGCACCTCATGCCTACAAATCATGCTGGTCCTTCCTATTGGTGGAGGCCGTATTGTTGGAGAAACACGGTAGTAAGTCTGGCTTATTTACAAATAATGCCCAAGAGGTGGGGTGCTAACAGTTCAAACGAACCAGTCGTTCCGACGATCAGCTGAGAGGCAACCGGTTCGCTCCAACGATCTTCTGTTCTTCTGTTTGGCCCACACGCCCGCCCGGGTTCTAGGCTGTCCTTGATTCCGTGCTTTTTCAACCTCGTTGCTCTGTGCAGCACAGCTGATTACCGCGCATGCCCTATGTTACACCCAGGGCTTGCAGGAGAAGACGGTTTTTCCAATGCCGCGCACGCAAATCGCACCCTCACTGAACTGGTTATTATACCGGTTGACTCCCACCCCAGGGCCTACCTCTGAGAAGGTCCAGATCAGACAACTGCTGACCCGCCACACTGAGTTGCAAATCTATTCTCTCCAACTCTGCCCTCGTTCTGTGATTTAAAAAAACAAAAACCAGACAAAAATCAGTATTTGTTTTCCTACACAGCCCCTCTACCACCATCTAATCCTTAATTTGTGCCAATTTTCCAGTAGAATTCATCTTTTTTTTCTTTTTCTTTCCCTTTGTGTTTTCTCGTTCCAGGAGCTCCACTGATCCTGTCGGCCATGAAGTCATCTGGGCCTTGGGAGCAGGTTGCCGAGATATCATCTCTCTGCAGGTGGCACCTCTCCATCCTTGGTAAGAAGCACCCACGGACATTCACCTGTCTCCTCTTTTCCCTTTTGGAAACCCTCCAGTCCCCAGCCCCTGCTATCTGGAGGTCTAGCTATGAAGAAGCTCCAGACAGCTTCTGTCATGCCCCTGATTTCGAGGGAGAGGTGGAACAGCTGACAGGGAGTGGGAGTGTGGCTCCGGTGGCTGTGGAGGAAACTGGGGAAGGGTACAGTCCGGCTGGGCATTCAGAGAAAGACCCAGGCCCACCCCCTCTGCATCCTAGGGCATGCAGGGAGGAACGGAGAAGGGAGCAATGTGAGTTGTGTGGTTTACGGGGGAGGAAAGGGCCCTGATCCCCTTCATTAGCCACACCTGGGGAAACAGTTTAAAAAGGCAAAATGCACACAGCAAAGTTGCTGGAAGCAAAACATGAATGATCTTTGTTTGTCAAATCTTATCAGAATTCTGGTGTCCTCCCAACTGTGTGTGTTTCGTTATCTTTTGACGTCTTCAATCCCTTATCCTGCCCTGTCTCATTAATTGCTGCAGTGTGGTTTGTGTTGGTTTTTTATTTATAATCTAGATGTACTTTAGGTTCGGACTGAATTTCTTCCCTTTAAAAACTGTTCTTGGGAGAGTTTTTTTTCTCCAGCCAATGACAACTGGACATTGGGGGCCAAGTTGGAGGAATTCAAGGGACTTTACCTATTTTTGTGACTTCGTTGCTTTTGTGCCACGCCCCTTTGGGTCATCACAGCTTCGTTGACAGATTCTCCTCCTAATTTATGACCTTCGTGATTATTTTCTTCTCTCTCTCCTTTTATAAATATCTTCCAGCCAGCAACCCACCAGGTTTAGCAACCGTTGTCTGCAGATGATTGGGCGTTGCTGGCCACATTTGAGAGCGCTGGGCGTCGGAGGAGCCGGCTGCGGCCTGCAGGGACTGGCTTCCTTAGGTAAGTCCGGATCTGGGACTTTTTCTGGCCCAGGAAGAATAAAGGAAAAGAGACATGGAAGGTGGCTTCCTCAAGTCTTCAGACTAGCCCTGGTTTAAGGCA